AGCTGACAACGCCTAGTTTTACTATGCATAACAGCGTCTGCATATCATTTCTATGCATATTCCCACCCATGACATTAGGGAAACATGAGATACAGACTATGTGCCGTCACATTACATTGAGTATCCTTGCAAAACATTTTTTATAAATTACATTTCAGAGAAGAGTTATTCTGAATCTTTCAGATTCAGGCCAAATGGTATTTTTAATTGCTTTAAACAAATCAAACCAAAAGAGAATCTCTCCATCAAGATTGTACTGAAAATGCAGTGAAATAATACAGATGAACACCGATCATCGCATAACTTACCATAATGGCTATTCTTACATGAAGCACGCTAATCCAATGGTACATTTACTTTAATTTATGTACTATATAATAAACGGATCTCTGTTTTGATCTCTGATTGGATGAACCGCATTTGAAGCGGTTCAAAAACCTTATGTACCATTAACTTCTATATTAATGTACCAGGTTGTTACAATGCTCCTTAAACAACATACAGCCAGGATAATGCACTTCATTACTTGGTGTAAAATTGTTTTATTGCCATGTGACTGCACAATCAGTTGACATGAGAGCACAAAAGAGCTTGGGTTCACATACACTCTGCATCAAGATTTCGCTGAAAATGCAAATTACCAATATTGTATGAACACAGATCATCTTGTTTAGTATTTAAAATAATTAAAACCATATGGATATTAATTTAACTCCCAACACCTTTTTCAACACATAAGGTTAAGCGTGAGTAAGGTGTGAACACACACACTCGTAAACAAACGCTTACTTATAACATTCAGCATGTCGCTGTTGCTCTCAGCCAGTTCTAGTCTCAGCTGAGCTATAGTCTCGTCTGAACCCTGTACCTGAACAGAGAAGAAACTAACTTAGTTTAGTTTGTCCCTCTGAAGGACAAAGGACAAACAGAGAGTAATGAAAAAGTGAAGTATGTAGTGTCTGCAATAATATATAAATATAGTTCCAAGTGGAATTACAAAAATAAAGCTTTTTTTTTTTTTTGGAACAACCTTGCAAGCACCCCTTTCGCTCCTCTACCAATTCAAACATCCCAAACAGATAAAAGTAGGCTACTTTCAATGAACAGTCCACCATCTTAAGGAATACTTTTAGATGTGTTGCTATGTGTCATAAGTAAACAATTAAGTCGAGAGTTAACACGAGCGCCTCTCTTATAATTAACCCATTCAACATATCTGCACTGATGCATCAGAACTGTTTGAGGCTGTCTACACTGAAGACTTCTAAGTTAACATTATAAACTGATACATTTGTCTTTCTGAACGGAAGAGTCCATTGCAGATTCCCTGCTCGCTTTGACATGTCGATGACCTTTGAAGGTCTAAATGCAGCAAATTGTGGCTTGAACTTCTGTAACAGAAGCTGAATGTCTTTTCCAATGTAAGGAATCAGTCATGGGCCCACCGCAGCTAAACACCCTCTGGCTCCGCCTACTAGAGTAGCCACGCCCCCAAACCATCAGTATGGTTGAGCTGGAAAGAGATTGACAGATCTGAGAGACGCACTCAATGTTTTCATGGGGCTCGGGCAACACAGTGTTTATACTTTAGGGGAGATAAACCCATGAATGGCATACTAACAGTAGTCAAAGACCAATAAACTAATATTTTATTTTTAACATAAAAAAAACAAACTTTAAACAAGTTCAAATATAAAGTTAAACTTGAGTCAACATGCAAGATCTTAAAAGCAAATACTGTCAATGTTTTTATGTACAAAAATGTTGCTGTGATAGTAAAAACTGGAGTTGTTAAAAATGTCTTCGCTATGAAGAACTTCGCTACCAAGTCGGTATCGAAACTTAAAAATGCGATGATACCAGCATTTCCCTCTAGCATTTTGGGCGCTGTTGAACGGATTCTTAAACACGTCTGATTGGCCATTGTGTTGACGCGCTCAACATATACAGTATGTCTGTGATTGGCTACAATGATCAACGGCGTTTGAAAGCTGCGTCTATCAGCGGATCCGTCTTTCAGCGGATATATTAGGGATCTGCTGATAGACACTGACTAATTTGCTGTATTTTTTAGTATTATTTTTCTTTATTAATTTTCATAATATATTTTGTGAAGTCAGAGTATGTTTGTATATGTATGCTGAGCAGAGATATGGGATGAGCTATATTTTGCTTAGAGGTATGTGCAATGTAACGTTCACTGAGCAGAGATGTTCCACTAATGATGATACTTCAGTTGCCATGTTCAAAACCATTTACAGCTGGCATGATGGGGTGAGGGAATAGAGAAATGGGGAACAGAGAAATCTGGAATGAAGACCTGCTCACATAGCCTTATTCTGCTATGCCCGTTTCTCTCTGTCTGATACATAAAATAATAAATAGAAATCTCTTGGCAAATGTAACCGGTGTAGCTTCCGTGATTCAACAATAATGGGGAAAAGCATGATTTTCAAATCTAGAGACACCTTCTTTTGCAAGCGCTCGGTGAAGAGCGTCAAAGATGTCATTGTTGATCATTGTAGCCAATCACAGACATATATGTTGAGTGTATATATGTTGAGCGCGTCAACACAATGGCCAATCAGAAGTGTTTAAGAATCCGTTTAACAGTGCTCAAAATGCTAGAGGGTAATGCTGGTATCGTCACATTTTTTAAATTTCAGTACCGACTTGGTATATGGAGATATTTTCTTTTAAAGAAATTGCTTTTAAGGACTACAACAAACGGCTGGTAGGGACTACACGACAAACATTGATGACATCACGAACCCTAAAATTTGCATGAACCCCACCCCCGGGAACGCAATTTACAGATAATCATGACAGAATATGCTTATTAATGACTAGAAGATAACTAATCTACAAATTCATCAACTTACAACTAACTATTCAGAAATGTCCTGTTGCATTCTACATGTTGTCACTTCATCTTGAGTCTCTCCATCATTGTCTGACTCCGGTTTGAACATAAAAAGACTAAAAGTGTTTGAAACAGGGACACAAGCTGTTGAAGCTCCGCCCTCTGTGCCGCGAGCAGCAGCTCATTTACATTTAAAGGGACAGACACAAAAACGGTGCGTTTTTGCTCACCCTCAAAAAGTGACAATTTTAACATGCTATATACACTCACCGGCCACTTTATTAGGTACCCCATGCTAGTAACGGGTTGGACCCCCTTTTGCCTTCAGAACTGCCTCAATTCTTCGTGGCATAGATTCAACAAGGTGCTGGAAGCATTCCTCAGGGAGTTTGGTCCATATTGACATGATGGCATCACACAGTTGCCGCAGATTTGTCGGCTGCACATCCATGATGCGAATCTCCCGTTCCACCACATCCCAAAGATGCTCTATTGGGTTGAGATCTGGTGACTGTGGAGGCCATTTTAGTACAGTGAACTCATTGTCATGTTCAAGAAACCAATTTGAAATGATTAGAGCTTTGTGACATGGTGGAAGTAGCCATCAGAGGATGGGTACATGGTGGCCATAAAGGGATGGACATGGTCAGAAACAATGCTCAGGTAGGCCGTGGCATTTAAACGATGCCCAATTGGCACTAAGGGGCCTAAAGTGTGCCAGGAAAACATCCCCCACACCATTACACCACCACCACCAGCCTGCACAGTGGTAACAAGGCATGATGGTTCCATGTTCTCATTCTGTTTACGCCAAATTCTGACTCTAACATCTGAATGTCTCAACAGAAATCGAGACTCATCAGACCAGGCAACATTTTTCCAATCTTCAACTGTTCAATTTTGGTGAGCTCTTGCAAATTGTAGCCTCTTTTTCCTATTTGTAGTGGAGATGAGTGGTACCCGGTGGAGTCTTCTGCTGTTGTAGCCCATCCGCCTCAAGGTTGTGCGTGTTGTGGCTTCACAAATGCTTTGCTGCATACTTCGGTTGTAACGAGTGGTTATTTCAGTCACTGTTGCCCTTCTATCAGCTCGAACCAGTCTGGCCATTCTCCTCTGACCTCTGGCATCAACAAGGCATTTCCGCCCACAGAACTGCCGCTCACTGGATGTTTTTTCTTTTTCGGACCATTCTCTGTAAACCCTAGAGATGGTTGTGCGTGAAAATCCCAGTAGATTAGCAGTTTCTGAAATACTCAGACCAGCCCTTCTGGCACCAACAATCATGCCACGTTCAAAGTCACTCAAATCACCTTTCTTCCCCATACTGATGCTCGGTTTGAACTGCAGGAGATTGTCTTGACCATGTCTACATGCCTAAATGCACTGAGTTGCCGCCATGTGATTGGCTGCTTAGAAATTAAGTGTTAACGAGCAGTTGGACAGGTGTACCTAATAAAGTGGCCGGTGAGTGTAAAAATATAAGTGGGGTATTTTGAGTGAAAAATCACATACACACTCTGGGGACATCAGAGACTTATTTTACATCTTGTGAAAAGGGCATTATACCGCCTCTTTAAAAAATGAATACTTTCATTCCGCAATGTTGCATTAAATGTATCAAAAGTGACCCTAAGACAAAAAATATATAGTTTAGTTCATAAATGCTGTTCATTAAAGAATTCCGAAAAAAATATCAAAAACATTTTCTACTTAATGATGGGATCTTATTTGGAATGTGGGAGAGTTTGACTTTTCATTTCCATTCATTGCGATGGCATGCAATCTTCATTTCTATCCATCAAAGAATCATGGAAAGAATATTAAGTAGCACTTTTTTTCAACACTGATAATTAGAAATGTTTCTTGAGCACATATTCGAATGATTTCTGAAGGATCACGTGAAAATTACGTTTTGCCATCCCAGATACATTTAAAAATGTATGAAAATAGAAAATAGCTATTTTAAACTGCTAATGTTTATATATTTTTACTGTTTTTTTTTTTTATAAATGGTGAGCATTACCAATCCCAAACTTTTGAGTGGTAGGAAAGGCACATTTCTCATGGAGTATATGGGATTAAAATAGGAGAAATTCACGTCCAGCTAGGCCTGGAAAGTCTGTAGTGTGTCTTCTACCTGCTCTTGAAGCTCTTTGCCACTGGTCTCCACCTGAAGCAGCTGTTGAAGCTGCTGGAGCTCGTGCTGTTCTTTCAGAGACATCTCCAGGTGTAGCTCAGTGATGACATCCTGCAGTTCCAGGATCAGAGCCTCTCGCTCCTCCACCTACAACACATGATCGCTGCCATGTCAATACACTGTTGTCCATGATAGTTATGTGTTGAGCTGGATGGTTATTAGTGATGATATTAAATATTAAGAATGTCAAAACAAACACCTGGCCACTGTAAGATGTGTTTCAATGTAGTGACTGCTGCAGGGACATGTTCAGCCTAACAAGCATGAATACATGATAAGTACGAGAGTCACCAACAAATGTCCAAACAATGTCCATCTCATGCCATCTTGCTAGTGCAGGTAATCAGATGTTGTGTGTTCACAATGACAGATATCATAAAACTACTCACCACAATAACAACTATGTTAAAGGCCAATTTTTTTTGTTTATTTATTTATTTTACAGTTTATGACTGTAAAAAAACAGGAAAATCATGGACAGACCAGATTTGAACCTGCATGAGCTTTATGTTTTGTTAACGAGCACTACATACTGGCTCAGACAAGCCTAAGAAAAAAAAATCACAAAATAATGTGATTAAGAAAGAAATTAATAACCAATTAAATATTTTACATATCTGCTACAATAATGTACAGTACGAATTGGTCATTTGGGGCCTTTTCTCATTACTGATATAATTAAAGTTTGTAATTATTAACCCTTAATTATACACTGTCAGTCAAAAGTTTGGAATAATTAAGTTTTTTTATGTATTTGAAAGAAGTCTCTTATTACTATTATGCATTTATTTGATAAAAAAAAATCAAATTAGGAAAACAAAATTATAGGAAAACAATTATATTGTGAAATATGATTACACTTTAAAAGAACTGTTTTCTATTTTAATATTTTGTAAAATGTCATTTACTCCTGTGCTGGCAAAGCAACATTTTCAGCATCATTACTCCTGTATTCAGTGTCATATGCGCTGCATCTGAAATCGCATACTATATTTGAATTCAAATATTAAAAAATAAGTTCTATATAGGATGAATATACGTAGGTAGTATGAATTCAATTCGGACATGCTACATCCGCCATGTTGTTACTGTCACGTGACATAGCATCATCAGTCCACTGTTTTTCCAATACTACGTATTTGAACATACTAATCTTTTGGCGTACTGTGTTTCCGCATACTCAATTTTGGATGCAGTAATGATCTTTCCGAAATCATTCTAATATGCTGATTTGGTGCTCGGTTGTTATCAATTGTTATTATTAATGTTGAAAACAGGTTTTGCTGCTTAATATTTATGTGGAAACATGATCATTCTTTTCAGGATAGAAAGAATGAATAGAACGAGATTAAAAGAACACCATTTATTTGAAATAGAAATCTTTTGTATCATTATAAAAGTCTTCAGTGTCACTTTTGATCCATTTAATGCACCCTTGTTGAAAAAACATATTAATTTGTTTTTTAACCCCAAACTTTTTAATAGTAGTGTATCATGGTTTCCATAAAAATATCAAGCAACGAAAACAGTTTTCAACATTGATAATAATAAGAAATATTTCTTGAGCAGCAAATCAGCAGATTCGAATAATTTCTGTAGGGTCACGTGACACTGAAGACTGGAGCTTTAAATCGAAGGAATAAACTATTTAAAATATATTCAGATGGAAAACAGTTATTTCAAATCGTAATAATATTTCACAATAGAGTGGTAGAATTCGCTGCTGGCTCCTTTGAGATTTTCCCATGGGGTTTTCCAATTTATGAATAAAATAAAGCCTGTGGTACTAAACACAACTAAACACACACTCATACCGAAAACAAAAATTTTGAAGCAGTTAAGTTTATTTTTGAAAATGTTTGTTTCTAATAAGCAAATTTTGAAGCAGTTATGTTTATTTTTGAAAACGTTTGGTATAGCGTATATGACAGAGATGGTCCAACAGAAGAATAGATATAAAAACCCAGTTCATCCTTCCGAATCTCAAAACTATGTCAACGAGGGACATCAACACCTTCACAAAGCTCCACATATGAAGTGTATGTATCACTATGAGAGATACTGCAGCATTCTGTGACATTTTATATCAATCGTGTGGAATTGCTTGGCAGAAAGAGTGTCTCATGGTGGTGCTTGTAAGTGAACCCCAGGGATTGTATGAATCCATTTTCTACTGCTAAATTGGCCTATGCAATTGTGGTTTACAATATGGGATACAGTGAGAGGTGCAGAAGAAGTGAGATAACACAATAGGATTTGCCTTGGAAGCAACACTCTCACTGTGAACTACTTGTAGTACCCTGTAAAAAGAAAAAATCAAAAGGTCAAAGTCTGAATGAGTGTATGCACTGAAGAGGTCGATCTCATATCACAGAGAGCATAAGTGGGCACATCAGCGAGGAAAATCCTAGATAACACACATAAAGATGTTTTAATGAACATGTGAAATGTGCACCGATAAATTAGATTGTGATACAGAAGGGTTAGGAAATCAATTTCTCCAGGCACTGTCTTCCATCAGATTGAACATCTGATGTTGCTATTGCTAAGCGAGTGAACTCATTTGAGAGCAATAAACATAAGGGCTGTTATGCAAAACTGTTGAATGATCTAATCAAGATTTAAATGTGTTCAGACTGATGTATGAAATCAACAGCAGATTGTGATCCATGACTTATGAAGAAGTGAAGGTTACAGATATTAACTGAAACATGAGCGAAAACTGAAAATGAATCATACATTTTGAAGAATTTCACTGTAGCTAATGGCACAATGCTTCAAAATTATGATTTATCATTGTACTTACATTTATTTATATATTTTCTGTTTTAAAGACCGTTTCAGCTGGTTTTTGTATGGACCATGTATGGGCCAAAAACACTAAGATATTATTCAAAATGTCTTTTTTTGTGTTTCACAGATGAAAGTAAGTCATACAGCTTTGGACGGGCTGTTGAATTATTAAAAAAAATAATGGGCTCAGCAAAGACCAGGCCTCGGGTGCTTTGATCACAGGAGCCCCTTATACTATTGGGGCCACTTTTCACACAATTTTTCCCCTTTGACTGCATAATCAAGGAGAACGTCTATTTTCTTTCTCAACTGCAGCACTGTACACTTTTCTTTGTTTCGAGTACTATGGGCACTGGGGTCTGGACTCCAAGGTCCATTTAATAGGGTTATTATGCACTCTTCATTATTTCTAAGCTAATGCTAAGACCATCCATCTTTGAACCACAGGTCTTAGCTGGTGCCCAGCACCTCTGCATTAGGAGATCCTTTGATCCTTCAATTCTTTGAAAAGACAAACCTGGTAGGACTCCTAAATGAACCACTCCAGACTGTAAAATACACCCAAAAGCATTAAAAAATTCTAGATGATCCACTGTATTCTACCCAAAGGAGAATGGTCAAGTGAATGCAACTTAATTAACCACAACAAGCCATAAACACACAACTTCAATAGCATATTGAGGAAAAGGATTAAAAGGAGCCAAACGTCCATATCTTGAGGAAATCAGGCCTTTCAGAATAAATGGCAGTGTTTCATCTAGTATTTTTCTTTTTTGTAAAAGGTCCTTTGTTATCTCCAGACACCCAGAAAAGTCTCCAACTGACTCTATGGCTTTTGAGGTTCAGATCTCGGCATTAGCATGCTAATTGCAACTTTGTCTGCGGAGCAGAAAATAAAAAAAGAAATGGAGGGAAAGAGAAAAAAAGAAAAGAAGATTAGCGCTTTGTCCGGCTATGGCCATGGGATTTCTTTTTAATCGGCTGTTACAAATAGCCTTTCTTTGTACAGAATTACATTATGTCCTATTTATCTCGCCTCCAACAAGGAGAGAGTATGGACAAATCACAATAAATAAAAGTTCACAACATGATACACCAACCTTTGATACATGTAAAGTGAGCTATACCATGCAATTTTTAAGTGATTTTTTTTTATTTAACTGATTTTGTAATACGGTAAAATATGTGACCCGTGTTGGCAAAATGAGTAGCAATGAGCATATTTTCAAATATTGAGTTATTGTTATTGTCGATAGAGTCAGCAAAGTCCATTTTGAGAAAAATAGAGTTAAAGTTTTCTGAAGGTTCCAAAACAAAACCATCTAGCCTTAAAATCTTAACAATAACACTTAAAATAAATAATAAAATCCCTGGTAGTAACACCAAATTTGGCACACACCAAGTCAAAACCAAATATCTATATGAAAAATATACATTGATGATATCACAATTGTTTGATTAACATGAATGAAACAGACAGCCTATATATTCAGTACCTACTGTACCACACTGATCTAAAATAATGTTACACATCAGATGTTTTTCCTCAACAGTTAAACGTTCACATAACAGATAATGTTTGCCAAGACAGATATTTTGAAATACTGTAATTCTGTGTATGTGTGTATCGCTCACTATATCAAATAAAAGTAAGATCGTTTTTCCATGGACAAAGGAAAGGTACTCCTCTCAGAAAACGTACAAATAAAGATACTTTTAGATGTTTAATTGCTATTTGGAGCATTGGGATCGCTAGACGAGGGCTTAAAGAACACATTTTTGTGAAAACCTCAAAATAGCCCAAAATCGCAATTTTTCACTTGTTTTGCCTGTAGCTCGAAATTATCCCTTGCGCAATCCGACTCCTTTTGCCAGCACGGGTCACATATTATATTAATAGAGCAATACACTAGATCATTGGCCTACCTGCAGGCTCTTTGTAGTGACCAAGAAACTTTGTTAATATATAAATAGAAGCAACTGATATGCACACAAGTCCTTTTGGAAGTAGGTTTACTCGGTGGCCATCTTAATAACGTCACCCAATTTTTTTTAAAGAATTCTATTTATTTGAAAGTGGAAAGACTAAAATCTACAAAACTGTTGATAATAGTTGGCATAGCTGGCTCTTTAGCTATACTCAGGCCAAAGTGTGTATTTTTCAAGTTAGTCCAGGTCTAGGGCAGGGATAGCCAACGTTGGTCCCAGAGTTTAGCTCCAACCCTGAAATGGCTGGCGCATCTGCGTGTCTGTTAAGTCCACAAGACCGTAGGGTGTCTCATTTGTCATTTTAG